TTCCCCATGACCTGGTTTTCTGCTTTGCCTTCATTCTGCCTCCCACCTGCTTCCTTAGTTGAACATCCAGTGCCTCCTGCCTGCTCTTGGCAGCTAAGGCTCACCGTGCATCTAGCAGTGTCGATTCAGGCCCCTCCCTCTGTGTATGAACTAACAGCTAAGCACACTCAGTGTGGGGGAGGAAGAAGGCAAGGCGAAGAGAGGTAGGCTGGGCTGTGGTGCCAGGAGCATATCTGATGGGGCTTGATGAGCTGGGCTGGAGGATCTGGCTGAGATGCCAGGCTGGAGGGCAGTGTATGGGCACTGAGACCAGTGGCGCTGAACTCTGTCCTTGGTCCTGCCCTGTTTCTCATTTTTTATCTTGCCTCCTGCATGAAGACAAGAAACACATACTTATCCTGTTTCCAGATGACACACACACAGAAAGGGAGCTCATTCATCAGATGATCACACTGAGATCCAAACAGCTCTCAGAAGGAAGCAGAAGGATGGCCTGAAACCAAGAAAATGAGATGTAACAGTGATGCATTCTACTCTTAAGTTTGAGCAAAAGTCCATGAACATTTAGAGTTCTGCTGGCAGTACGAAGCAGACAGCCCACGGCGGGGGTGGCGGTGATCCACCTTCTTCCTTAAGGACGGGAAATGCTTTCAAATCTTGTGGATTGAGCTGGCTTGCAAGGGCAGCGAGTGCTCTGCCCAGTCCCAGGTGGCACACCATCCCTGTTGGAAGGATCTACAGGGGACTCTTGTCAGCAGGAAAAGGGAGGAAATGAACTTCGATTGGTGGCCTATGTGTCAGGCACTCTATCTCCACTAACTCACTTAATCCTGACCATGTCCCTGATCAGAGACACCGTGTATCATTGATTCTAAGACACACACCCCACCCTTCTCCATTTGACATTTCTGAGATTGGTTTGTAGATTTACAGTCACTGTCAGCGGGTGGCAGTCTCAGCTGGGTGGTGCGGAAACCCTTCATTGACACCTGCTGGTAAGATCAAGAAAGCACCGCAGCCGAAGTTTGGTACAGGGTCTGTTATAGAGATGGGGCACCAGCGCTCCAAGTGTGTGGCTGCCTGACATTTTCACTGTGCCAGGGGGCACTAACCTGCCAGTGCCGCACGCTGTTCCAGTATAAGCTATACCCGAATCACCTGTGAGGCTGGAGAACCATTGGCTTATGGGTCTCCCATAGATGTTCCAATTCTGTAGGTAGGGATGGGGCCTGGGAGTCTGATTGGCTTAACTTTCCCAGAGGATGCTAATCCTCAGACAGGCTGGGAGTCACTAGAACTGGTGCCTGCTCAGTGGTCTCAGAGGTACAGTTTGGATGTGTTTTGGCTCTGTGGCTTTGGTCCCCAGTATGCTGGAACACCTGGGCCACAGTGCTCTGCCAGGGCCCAGGCCCAGGCCCCTCTGCACCTCTGTCCTGGCCCTCAGGCCCCACAGTTGGGGTCCAGCTAGAAAGTCCTTCAGCCCAGGGGGAAGCTCAGCAGCCTCTGCTTGACTCCCCTCCGTGGTGGCTGAGTGGCAGGCTCACTGACCTCTGCTTTCTCTCCCCAGGGAAGGGTGACCTGATCGGCTGTGAACTGCCCCGGCGTGAGCAGGTGGTCAAGGCCAATGCTGACGTGAAAGGGCTGACATACTGCGTCCTGCAGTGTCTGCAGCTGGTTGGGCTGCATGAAAGCCTGGCACTGTACCCCGAGTTTGCCCCGCGCTTTAGCCGGGGCCTCCGAGGGGAGCTCAGCTACAACCTGGGTGCTGGTGGAGGCCCTGCGGAGGTGAGGGCGCTGGATATGTGCGTGGAGGAGGCTGGGGTGCCAGGAGCCTGGTGAGGTGGGCAGAGGCTGGGTCGGTGGAGGTGCTGTGTGAGCACATGTCCTGGATGAACATCCCTCCCCCCACATGGTAGGGGGTCTGCACTCTCTCTGCCCCTCACACCCACACTCTGTCCTTAGAGCCCAGCCCACCAGGCCACCTCTGAAGAAAGTCCTGTATCTGCCCTGCTTGTTCGCAGTGAAAAGGAACGGCCCTGAGGGGCTTTTGGATATTCTTGGCTTTTGTCACCAATTCCAAACCAGCTTTCAGTACTGTGTTCTCTTGGCTAGTTCACTTGACTAGGATTTTGAGGGGCCCCAAATACCTCCAGGGCTTGGTGGCCTTGTGGTGGCAGCAGAAAAGCAACCTTCCCCTCCCCACAGCTGAGCCTCTTCTTCAGTAGCGTGGGGTATAGTGGGCATCCTGCTTAATACAACGGCTCCTCTCTGCTCGGGGGATGAGGCCAGGGTAGGGGAGGTGAAGGGAGCACAGTAAGGGCTCAAATATGCCAGTTTTCTGTCCTCCACTGTCCCCAGGCAGACACCAGCTCCCTGAGTGGTGACAACACCCTCATGTCCACGCTGGAGGAGAAGGAGACAGATGGAGAGCAGGGCCCGGCCACCTCGCCAGCCCCCGCTGACGAACCCTCCAGCCCCCTGCTGTCCCCAGGCTGCACCTCCTCATCCTCAGCTGCCAAGCTGCTATCCCCGCGTCGAGCCGCACCCCGGTCCCGCCTGGGTGGCAAAGGGCGGCCAGGGAGGGCAGGGGCTTTGCAGTCTGAGGCTGGCTCCTCTGCCCGCCCTCGGAGCTTAGAGGGGCTGCGGCTGCCCCCTGTGCCATGGAATGTACCCCCAGATCTCAGCCCCAGGTGAGCAGACCCTGGGCCACTACACTTTGGCAGAGACAGTGATGATAAGGCTGGGCCCCGGCCAGTCACACCCCTGTCCTGGATGCCCACCCTTTCATCCTACCCCCTCCCAGCCTCCTCCAGGAAGCATTCCTTGGCTTCTCTACCTCCCTGCTGTCCCCACCCCACCATTTAGAACTGAGTTCAGAACTCTTTCTGTTTCATGTCTCTCAAGCTTGGATCCCCAGCAAACTGCAATCTCCTAGGGGAAAGGGCCTCTCATGTCACCTTTCTCTTGGGGTCCTAAGCCACCTCTTTCAGCTCTAGGATCCTGCATCTTCTGTGTGACACTGGGGCATCTTATCCCGGGAAATACCCCAGTGGCTACCTGTCGATTTACTGTCCTGGTGCCTGTGTCCACAGGGTAGTAGATGGCATTGAGGATGGCTGTGGCTCCGACCAACCCAAATTCTCTTTTCGCACGGGGCAGTCTGTCCCGGAATGTAGCAGCAGCCCCTCCCCTGGACCAGGTACTGGGGCCCAGTGCCTGCGGGGGGAGGCTGTCGGGCCCCTTTGCCCCGTGAACCTCTGAGAAACCGTCAGGATACAAACATGGCCTGGAAGCCCTCTTGCCCTCACCCTCTACCTGCACGGAGTGGGCAGGGAGTTTGGTGGCTAAAACCAGCACCGTGGTGTTGGAGGGTCACTGGGAACAGGGTTTGCATCTCTGCTGTCAGCTCTCTAGCAGTGCGACCTGGGTTCTCACCCCAGCTTCCAGTCTGTAGAATGGCTGGTGTGCATGTTAAATAAGATCATGTCTCTGAGACCCTCAGCACACTGTTTAGCCCCCTGGGAGGACGGAGGACTGGGAAAGCTGAGTTGAAAATGGCCCCCAGCCAGGCCAGGCAGCCCTGGGAATGGCCCAGGTGACAAGCTCCCAGGAGTGTCCACATCCCTGGAGGATGGAACAGGAGATAGGCATGGACGGCAACTTCCTGAGGGGAAAAGCATGTGGCAGTGTGCCCGAGGCCCCCTGACAATTTGGGCAGAATTTTCAGCAACTTGGGCAAGACTGGAAGTGGCCCTTTCTGCCAGGTCAATATAGTCTGTGCTACCTGGGGCAGAGGCCTGGCCCCCAAGCTGTCTCCTGTCACCAGTCCTGCCCAGTAACCTCATGCTGTGGTCCACAGAGAACAGCCTGCTTACTGTGCCCCTCGGACCCAGTGAGGCGAGTAACACAGACGTGCTGGACAAACTTCGGCAGGCGGTGGGTGAGGGGCATGGTGGGGGCAGGGGGGAGGGTGGTCCTGCTGTTGTGTGAGGTCCTGACTCCACTCTGACCTCACCCTCCTCCCTCCCGAAGGTGTTGGAGCTGTCTGAGCAGGTGCTGCAGATGCGGGAGGGCCTTCAGTCCCTGCGCCAGGCCGTGCAGCTCATCCTGACACCCCCTGCGGAGGGCCCATGCCCCCAGGCATCAGGAGAGGGACCATGCCCGGCCGGCACCTCTGGACTCCTGCAGCCTCTGTGTGTGGACACTGGGGCATCTTCCTACTGTCTGCAGCCCCCAGCCGGTTCTGTCTTGAGTGGGACCTGGCCCCACCCTCGTCCAGGGCCCCCTCCCCGTGTGGCACCCTGGCCCTGGGGTCCCCCAGCATCTCAGAGCTCCCCTTGGCCTCGAGCAACAGCTTTTTGGACCTCCACCTCCGACTCAGAGCCACCAGGCTCAGAACTCTGTCCTGAGCCCAGCACCCCTGACTCGCCATCTCCTGAGCAAGGGGCTAGAACTGGGCCCCTGGAGCCTGTGAACCAGGCTGAGGCGGGCAGCACTGGAGAGCCCCCACCGGGGCCAGGGGGCCTGGCCTTGCCCTGGGAACCCCATAGCCTGGAGATGGTGCTTATTGGCTGCAATGGCTCTGGCACGGTCCATTGGACCCAGGAAGAAGGCACGGGAGTCTGACCGCCAGCACCAGAACTCAGTGTTGCCAGACATGCCATCTGCTGCTCTGCCCAACCTTGGGGCAAAGGACGGGTGGTAGCCACCCCCAGGGACTCCGGGCTGCCTGCTGGCTCAGGGCAGGGAGCCTGAGAGCCAAGATCTCACCCTGGCTCTCATGGAGGGTGGGCTAGAGCCTCAGGGGCTGGCCCCGGGCTAGTAATCCTGTGGTCCCTATTTGTGGGTCCTCTCCTCAACCTGCTTCTCTGATCTTGTGTCTCTCTGCAGGGTGGGGGACAGAGGCCTGAGGCCAAGGAGTGGCTCTGCCATCCCCTGCATGTGCCCCTGCCTCACCTGTCCCCACATTTTTTATATTAAAAAGTAATAATAAAAGAAGCTACTTTGGAACTCAGTGCCTTTTATTTACAAAAGAAAAATAATAAAGGAAAAGTCTGAAGCTAATCAGCTGGAGACACAGGGATGAAGGAGAGAATCTGGGGGAGAAGGGGATGGTGGTCTGCAGAGAGAAGGGGAGGGGCTCTGGCTGTCAGGAAGGTGCAGGACCCCAGCCTCCGGGAGGCCCTGCGGGCCAGCCCTGCCCCCACAGAGGCTCAGATCAATGGGCTGTCAGTTGGGTCTCCTGCTGCCCACTCTGATTTTTCCAGGAGCCCGACTTCCCAGCTCCAGGGAGCTGGAATGGCAGGGGATACCGAGGCCAGAAAGAGCCCATGGCTCCTGCCTCCACTCTCACTGTGGTGTGATCTTGGCAGCCTCGGCCCGGATAAGGGCAATGAGGTCCTGGTTGATGAGGAAGACAAATCGCAGGCTGGCAATCTGGGCAGGAGAGAAGGGTAGCTGAGGACAGAGGTGGGACTAGGAGCCAGGCCCGAGTACTGGCTCACCACACCCCAGGCAGGTCCTGCTGTGATCTCCCCATCTCCCTCCCAGCTCACCTCCACCACGGAGTTGTTGCTGAGGCGCCACTTGGAGCCACACAGCACGGGCCGTCCGTCAATATAGATGGGCCGCCGACCCTCATTGGCAATGAAGAAATCACCGTTGTTTTTCAGCTTGATGACCCCTGTGGGAACAGAGATGAAAAACAGGGTGACGGGGTAGGGGGAGGCCAGACAAGAGCCCAGAGCCCCCATGTGCCCTCTCTGCCTCCTGGGGACAGGCCAGAGACCCAGGACTCCCAGCTAGAAATCTTGAAATGCCAACTCATCGGTGAGAGTTCCCAGAGACCGAGCCCCAGGGCTGGAGAGGGCAGCGGGGAGCCAGGAGGGACGTGCTTCCTGCGGGTACCTTGCTTCCGGGAGATCTTCCAGGCTGGGCCCTCCAGAGACAGGTCCACGTCGATCTGGTTATCCTTGGTTGCCCTCCCCAGGGTGATCTGAGGAGATAAGGCAGGTGAGGGCTGGCAGCTGAGGACCGGGGGACGGGTCCACACAGGCCAGGGAAAGACAAGAAATTGGGGACCGGACACAGAGGGCAGTGAGGGGAAGACTGATGGGGGAGGGAAACTCAGGAAGGGGGAACAGGAACAGGACGAGGCTGGCCCTGCCTCACCTCTCTCGAGCGCATCAGGTACCGCACCATGCGGCCCCGCAGCACCGCCAGCGTCTGGTTGTCAAAGTCTGGAGAGCTCATGCCTGGGGGAGAGCAGCCCATGTGGGAGGGAGTCCACCCTTCAGGGCTACTCGGTGGAAGGCAGGGAGCCAGGGCAAGGTCTGCCAAGGGAAAGGAGGGTGCACCCAGCCAGGCAACCCCGGGGGCCCAGGGTGGGGCAGAGAGTTGAAATGTGCCCTCCTGGACTGCTGGCCTCCTCACCTGTGATGCTGTCTACGAGCACCTGCCACTTATGTAGTTCCTGTTCCAGCTGCCGAATCTCCCGTTTCTGGCGCCGGTCGGCCACTGTCAGCTCTGGGGTGAGATGGGGTGGTAAGGAGGGACACTCCAAAGTCACCAGATTCTTGTACTGGTCCTCTCTGTGCTGGCAGGTGCTTACACCCCCTCACTGTCCCCACCAGGACACACTCACCATGTTCCAGGACCTCATCTCGCATGTCCCTGGGAGAGGAGAAGAGAAGGATGAATGAGGTTCCACTTCCAGCTCACCTGCCCTCACCTGCCCTCACCCTCAGGTGCTCCTTGGCCATTAGCACTGCCCTTAGCCCCCTAGCCAAGTGGCACAAGGCTGCTTCTTCGGCCTGCGCCTAGCCTCATTCTGGGGTTGGATGGGGTAAGACACTCAGGGGGTGTGGGGTAGGGGGAGCGGGGTTTAGCAGGAAGACCGGGTGATAGCTACTATTGGAATTTAAGGCTGAAACTGGGTTGGGCTCTGTTGTCTGCAGCAAGAGAGGTAGGGCCAAGTACCCTGGGCACCCCGCCCCCAGAGAGACATTCAGCTCTCTGCACGCTACCCGCGGCCCCAGCCACTCACTTGAGCTTACTGTCGTCAATCAGGTCCTCTGCATCGGAGAAGTTCAGCACTTGGTCCCCCTTGGGCAGTGGCTGCACTGAACACAGGATGAAAGGAGGGTCAGCGCTGATGCTCCTATTCAACCTCAAGCTGCTGAGCAGACCTCTGAACTAAGGGGACACACTATAAAGATGGGAACAGCAGTGAGCCCAGTACCAATAACAGAGCGCATGCCAGACTGGGCTGTGCGCTGATTTGGCACAAAGCATGCCTGGGGTTAACGGGGCAGAGGTGGTTCTACAAAGGGAAGGGAATTAAGGTCAAACTTTCATGTTCACTTTTCGGGGGCAAAGGGCCCTTGCACAGCCCTGAATGAAGTAGCAAAGGCACTGCTATTAGCTCTATTTTACTACAGACGAGGAAATGGGCACCGGAGGGAAGGTCCAGCGGTGTGGCTCTAGTTTAGGGCAAAGCCGAGATTTAAGCCCTGCTTTCCTGATCCCAAATGCAAAACCCAAAAGCGTCACATGCTCCTGAGTATTTTCTGCTGCACTCCTCTTTCTATCTCGAGTCCAACAGATATGTTCAGAATAAATATTGCTTCATGAAAGTTTTTCAGTTTTTCTCTGGTCAAAATGGAAAAGGGACTGCAACCTCCAAAATCTGAGAACTTCTGCCATCAGGCTGGCCGCTCCCACGACTGCAAGGGTCTGCTCAGGAGCAGCTCCCACCAGCCAGTGGCTGTGAAACTACCGGCTGAGCAGTTTGACGGACAACACTGAGGTGTCCTCCCTGCCTGCCAAATGCTCCCTCTGCCACCACACCCGCCTCCTTAGGTCCAACTGTGTGGGAAGACAGGTTTGGGGTGGTCACCCCCACTAAGCTGCTCCCCACCACAGCTGCCTGAAATTCCACCACACTAATTTTCAATGGACTTAACTGCTAAGCAGCGTACACCCCCTGTTCCCAGGGACTCCTAGCTCTAAACAGCAAGGAGAAATCAAATACCCACATAAGAAGGCTCTTGGAGAAAAAAATTAAACTTTTAAGTTGACAAGTAAGTTTACACAAAGTAACTTTTCAAACTGTGACAATGGAGTTAGCTATAGCAGCAAGAATAAACTTTCCCCAGTGTCCATTCTATGGGGATTCAGTGATAGTTGAGCCTGAGGAAGCGGCAGAGAGTTGAAAGCTGCAGGAATACAGCGAGCTGCCCACAGGGTACAGAATTCAGAAAGCCTTAGGAAAGAGCCTCGCCCGCAAAGGCATCTCCTAAAATCCTGCTGAAGGAGTATCTTTAAAGCAGCCAGGGCTGCGGGACCTAGAGAGTAAAGTGAAGGGCCTCGCCGAAGCTCCCTTTCCACAGCAACGGGAACGATGACGTAGAAGGCAACGTGCAACAACGTTTGGGACGGGCGGCATGTGTTGCATCATGAAAGTCTGACCTTGAACCCCAAATCTAACTAGGTGTTTCCCGCAGTTTGATCAGACTGCTTTCCTGACCCGTCACTAGGACAGTGCGAGTTTGGCTCGTTGTGGGAAGAGATGAATCAGGGAGCACCTGGCCCCTGGGGAAGGAGAAGGGCAAATGGACTGGGTGTGAAGTTCCAGTGGGTTCTCAATGGCCCAACGGCAGCCTGACAGTGCTGCTAGCGGGAGGACAGGCAGTGAGAGGAGAATGAAGAGAGGAAGGGTAGAAGGGCTTAGAAAAGTCCTCATCTCTTGGGAGAGAAACAGGGAAGGGTGAGCAGATGTCCACATTTTGCTCATGAAGCATATTAACATGTTATTTACATAAATATAAAATGTCAAAAAAAAAAACAAACAAACCCAGAAGTGATAGATAATTCTGCCATTTAGACATTTTGCCCAGGATTCCAGGCAACTTTGGCTACCCTTATCATGAAGCTGAAGGCCATTCCAGCTACTTTCCCTCTGCCTAGGAGGAAGTGGTTTTTGCTGCAAAGAGACATGAGCCAGACACTGGGGGCCACCGAGGGATTTACTACAAGGCGCTTAAGGGCAGCTGTGCCCCGAACACATCACACTCACACACGCACACCCACACTGCCAGCCCCTGGGGCCAGTTACCTGTCTGGTCCTCCAGCAGGTAGTACTGCTTCATGAGCTGCCAGTGGGCCTGCAGAGCCTTGGCAGTGCGGGCCAGGTAGAAGGCATCGGGGTGTCTGTGCAGCAGGTCCTGGAAGGTCTCCAAGGTGGGCTGGCTGGTCTGGAGGGCAAGGAGACGCTCTAGGCACCTGTGCTGTTTCACTCCTGCCTCTGCCTTACCAACCCCACCCTCACCTTCGTCCATTCCCACCAGGAGCTGGGAGAAGTGACAGTTATGGATGCCCAGGAAGCCAGGCTGGCTCTTCTCAAGTACCTGTCCACAAGGGTGTGTGCATCTGCACAGACAGCACAGGCATGTTTCCAGGCAGTGGGGTCTCCCACATCAATGTTCCAGGTGGTCCAGCTCCCACCCTGCCCAGCCCCTTCACCAGCCTTACCAGCCCTCATCCTTACCGATCCAACTTTGCTCAGCAGCTGCTCCTCAGCCTTGCTAAACAGGGCCTTGCTCTGGATGGCAGCGATGGCCTCTGGGTGCAGCTGCCTCATGGCCTGGCAGGCCAGCCTGGGCAGAGAGGAGACAAGGTCAGGGCAGGGTTGAAGGGAGGATGTCAAGTAATCTGAGGTTCCTATTTCCCTCAAAGCCTCCAGGTCTTTGAGATGCAGAATGAGAGGCCAGGCCCTCAATAGGAAGAGCCCAAGGCTTAGCATGGCATATACGGCCTCATGGATTTGTCCAAAGCACGAACAGGCAACTCAGGAAACAAGTCCCTGTGTTCAATCCTGTGGAGAGATTTAAAGGCACAGCCCCCTAGAGGCCAGTCCTGAGGGAGATCCTGAGTTCAGCTGAGGCTCTCTCCCCAAGACCTTTGTCCTTCTTGGCCAAAGCTGCCCACCAGCCACTTCCCAGCACCCCCTTCTTTCCCATGCTGAGCCCTGCCTGTTTCCTGGTATATCAGGGTCATGGCTAAAACTGAAGCAGTGCCAGGGGCTGTGGAGCAGAAGACAGGTGTTAAGCATCCAACCAAATCTGGATGACATTAAATGAAGTGACCGAGGAGGAAGAGTGTATGGGACATGTGTGCACGGGTTTACACCAACTCAGGCTGCTGGTGCTGGAAGGAACTGTGGGAAGTCTGTCTGGAAAAGTTGGGAAATGACTTGCCCCAAACCACAATGTGCAGAGTGGTGGAACTATGGCTGCTGGCTCTCATCTGGGTGTTTTCTCCTACGCTGCTTGCTTGGCTTCCAAATCCCCTTGCTTCTGGTATGAAGCCAGAACTAGCAGGGTTGGCAGCAGGAAGAAGCTCCCCTCTGAAACCTGGCAGGTCTTGGTATCACACCATATGATGCAAGGACCCAAGAGCCCTGCCTCCCAGGCCACCTCCTTGGGCCCTTATTCAAGTCCCATTGTTCCAGGGCTCAAATTCTGGTATCTCTAATACTTCTCCACTGCTGGAGCCGGCCCCACTCACTTGGAGATGACAGGATCGTAGAGCAGGGCGTACCAGCGCTCCTGGACCTCCCGAAGGGTGAAACGGCAGCTGAACTTCACACCCAGGTGGACAGATGTCAGGTCATTGGTCTGCAAGAGCCCAGAAGGGTTTGCTTCAGCCTTTGCACCGGAAAGGACCCTACCCTTGCCACCCATAGGACACCGCTGGGCTAGGTGAGGGACAACTGAAAGCTGGAGGGAAGAGTGGGACATGAAAACTGTAGTGGAAAGTACTACCTGCAACACAGCATTGATGAGCAGGAGGTCATCTGCAGGCTTCCAGCGGCCCAGATCCTTTGTCACCTGAAGTGGCTGTTTGCTCTTCTTCACACGCTTGGTGAGTCCAGGGGTAGGGGCTGGGCTGGGTGGAACAGGAGTACTGGGGGCCTTGGACACCTGGACGGAGGACAGGAATACAGTGAACTCAAAGCTGGCATCAGGGCAGCTGGGTCTTCAGGCCTAGAGCTTCACATACTGTGGGACAGCCCCGGCCCCACTCAACAATAAGGAGCACAGGCTTGGAGCTCAGCTTTCTAATGCCTGCCCCCACCAGAGCACTTCTACATAGTCTTTGACCATATGGGGTCTTCTCTTTGCTGGTGGCACCCCAATCCCAGAGCAGAGGGTGGGTGGAGAGGATACCAGGAAAACACTCTCACTGGTACAGTGTCTTGGGCCAGAGCAATGCCACCTGGGGGTTATTTTTACACCCAGCAGTGCTGGGAACAGGCTGTCTGCTCCCAGAATAGATACACGCTCCATGCCTCCCACACAGAATGTGATACAGGATGCACCAAAGGGTGGGGAGTAGAGCAAGAAAGAGGGAGTAGGGAGAGATGGGCTCCCAGGAGGGAGGCATCTGAGGCTGGGGCTGGGGCAGTTTGGTCCTCTCATAGCATCCTCCAAAGAACTCTTGCCAGATGACAAGTTGTAGGGAAACACAAAATGTGGCCCTGTTCCCCACCTCCCCCATCCTTTCTCCCAATTCCTCACCTTCTTCTTCTCACTAGAGGAGGGTTCGCTCCCAGAACAGCGCCCTGGTTCCACCCCACTGGCCCCCTTCGCCCGGGTAGAGGACTTAGCCAGGCTGCTCTCCACCAGCTCATCATCAAACTTCTTCCTCTTGATAAACCTGTGGAGAGTCGTACCCATTGAGCAATCCTTGCCCCCTCCCCAGCACCCACTGACATACACCACGCCTCCAGAACAGAGCAGGTTACCAGCAGGGTGCTAAGAGCTCCAGCTCAGTGGATGGGGCACGGAGCTGCTATGCTCCGCCCCTCTAAGACAAAAGGGTCCAGTACCACAAAGACTCCACGTCAAAGGCGTAAGATCTCCCTCCCTTGCCCTCAGTCAGGGATTTAGGAGGGAGATGAAAAGCACACAGCTCTGCCAACCCTTAGGCCCCTAAGGGTCCCAGGAAGCCATTCCCAACAACGGCAAAGGCATGCAGTACTTAATGCCCTTCTCAGTCCCTGGCCCTCCAAACCCTTGCTACCTGGAGGAGCTTCTCCGTTTAGGGATGGTGCCCAAGGCCTGTGAGGAGGCCCGCTTCTGCCCTGCCAGTGACTCCTCATCCTCAGAGCGGCTGGCAGTGCCTGATGCCATCAGGGATGAATCTAGCAGCCCCTGAGAATCTAGAAAAGAAAAGTAGTGAACTCAGGCCTCCTAAGTGCCTAGCAAAGCCTTGAGCCTCTGCTCAAAGGTCTCCTTCTCAGTCCTTCCTTTCCTGTGACAACCTCTCAGCCCCTCCCCTGCTTCCTTGACACTTGAGGTTTTAGGGTGGAAATCCCTTGGCCATCCAGTCCCTATCTGGGCTCAGACCTAGCCCAGACCTTCCATGCTGGGTGGTTCTCCCAGTGCCATGTGTCATATCACGTAGCATATGGTGCTCAGGTAAGACTGCTGATGCTGACACAACGGGCTCTGGGTATAACCGTTCCCTCTAGCATCAAAATGCAGCCATGCCAAAGAGTGGCAGCTCAACAGCAAACCAGTCAACTGATGCCTCTGCCAAGAGGTACGTGGGTAGTGCTGGCCCAGGGAGAGGTGGCAATGCCCAGTCAGGACCGAAACACACATGTGCTGGGCACAGGGTGGAATCAGCAGATGCTTGGTGCCCAATCATTTGGGGAGCTGGCCCAGCCTCATAGTACCTTTGTCCATCCTCTTACAGTCCCAAAGCCACTGGTTCCAAACCACAGGGCTAGGAGGAAGGGTCCCACAGGCTCATCCAAGGGTTCTGACCAGGTAAGCTTAGAGGCTGAGAAGAGATTCTGCAAAGGAAAATAAGGCTTCCTGAGGCTCAGGATTCCAATTGGTCAGCCTCACCTCCTTATACTACAACAGGTCCCTCCCAGGACCCATAAACTAGGGAAGACACAAGAAAGACACATGCCTCTATTTTGCCAATATGACCCTGATAAATCAGCAGCCTTTTGAAGGCCACTGACATATTTGAGAATATGATAAAACCTATGGACTCCAGAAAAATGTACAAACACATACCATTTAGGCGGTTCACGGACCCCACTAATTCTACTCATAGCCCATAGGTTAATAGCCTTGATACACACTAGCAGGAAACCAGGCATTCTTTGCTCACTTTTTCTTTCCATCAGCTGGTCACTCAGCTCAGCAGCAGCACCCCTTTCCCTCTCAGGCGAAAGACGGGAAAAGTATAGAATTCCAGCCAGTTTCTCTCGTCCCCCCCCCGCCCCCCCCCCCGCCATTTGCATGTTTAGCGGAAGATTTAGTGGATGGTAACTTGGTAAAACTAAAAAACACGGTTTGGAAACTGCCCGAATATCAACCGCCCCGCTTCTTGGGGTGAGGAGCTCCTAAACTGCGTAGAAGAACTCAGGCGCTGGGGACTCAGGGCGCCCAACTTGCGGATCCTGCTCCTTCTGCCCAGGGCTGCTTGCTCTTCTCGCAGCAGCGTTTCGGCCCTGTCCCCAGGTGTGCTTGTTGCACCGCCCCATAAAATACGGCCGGGAATCTTGACAACTGGGAAGGCGGGGAAGGGCCCTGATTCTACGGGCAGACTGAGGAAGGGTGTGCGTCCCCTTCCTTCCCCGGCCCTCGGGTAACTCCCTGAAGTGCACACCAAGGTGGGAGGTCAGTCCAGGTCTGTTTTAGCAGGTCGGGGTAGGAATGGTGATGAAACTCAAAAGCAAAGCATCGAGGACTCGATGGTCTCGCAGCCTTGGCTTAAGCCCCATGGGCTGGTGGCGGGGAAAGTGGGTACCAATTTCGCGGCCCAATTCTCACCCCACCTTCGGCAAACTACCTTTGCGCATGCGTAACATCTCGGACCTGATCCTGGCCCGGTCCGGCCCGCGCGCGCATGCGTAACATCTCGGACCCGATTTTGGCCCGGTCGGGCGTACGCATGCGCAGATTTTCGGGGCGCTACTGGGGCGGGGTCCCAAACCTGGGGAGGGGGTCGTCCCTGGAGGCATTCTGGGAAATTCCATTTGACCCCCAGCTCCGCTTGGGACCCTCATAGGCGAACCGCAAGGTCTTACCATTCCTAGGCTGCCAGCTCCAACAATTTCTCCGCGGCGACGGCAGCAGCCGCAGGGCCAAAGCCAGCTTCCGTGAGGTACGTCTACTTCCGGGTCTCCGAACTGGGGACTGAGCAATCCCTTCCAGGTCACACGGAGTACGGGCGTGAAGGGGGTGTGGCATGGCTGTGAAGGTGCCACTATTTTGCTAACAGGTGAAGTCAAAGGCTTTCCCAATGGGGAAACTTCAGGGATTATAGGCGCCAGAGAGGTTACTCGGTTAAGGGATGCGATTAAAGGGACAGGCGAGACTGGGTGCGGGATAGGCTGAGGGCCGACGCCAATCGGGGGGAGGCGGGGCGTTGCTTAGATGGGTGGACTCTATGGTTGGGTGGTCCCGGGCCGCGGAATAGATTTCGGCCTCGAAATTCTCACGAAGAGTAGGAGTCTTTGATGGTTTCTCGGATTCGACAAGAGGTCTTAGAGAAACCATTCAGTGTTAGGCCCTATTCTAGGCACGTGGCGGGGAGATGATGTTGAGGAGCTGGCCAGAGAAATGTGGCGTAAAGGGGCAGGGAGAGGTTGATGTCTGTGGAACGGATGGGCCGCGTTCCTAGAAGGTAGAGGCCCTGGGGAGAAGGAGCGGTGCTCCATTGGTCCCGTCAGCCCAAATCCACCTTGACTGCTGGAGACATTGTGGGTCCTGGGGGGTAAGAGAGACCCGTGGAAGCACCTTCAGAAGGGAGTGCCCTGGTAGGAGTCTTGGAGTGGGAGAACAAGCCTACAGGAAATGTTGGAGCTACCCAGGAAAACCAGAAAGACTGCCTTCTAAAAGAGGATTCTGCTTTATGTTTCCTTGGAGGGCACAGAAGTGCAGTAGCTTCAGAGAAACATGCTGCAGCTCAGAAAATGGAAGATCCAATTCCAAAGCTATCCAGCTAGGGCAGTCCCTTCAATGGAGGTGTCAAGTACATGTCACCTGGACATTGTTAGGGGATTCAAGTGTCAGATGGAGGGCTGGCCCTTCTAGCTCTGACAGTGTATGATAGCCCTCTGCTTCAAAAGTTCCCCACTTCATTTACTGTTCTGTCATCTTGCTTTAATAAGTATTAACTTATTTTTATCTCCCTTGAAAGGTTGTGGGGAGATACAAGTTCTGGTGGAATACTTATATATAGTATCTATATTATATGAGAGTTATCAGTGATGTCTCTAAGAAGGTGACAACTGAGCTGAGATTTTACAGTTGAGAAGGAACCAGTCGTGCAAAGAGCTGGGATAAGATGATTTAGTCAGAAGAAAGCATAGCTCCAAAGCAGAAAAGAGTGAGGAGCAGGAATGAGCCCAGTGTGGCTGGAACAACATGACGAAGAGGAAGGGGTAAGGAGATGAGAACAGAGAGGTCATCAGGGGGAAGGTCGCATTAGCTCTTGTAGTTCATAAAATGAACTTTGGCCTTTATGCTTAATGCATTGGAAAGCTCTGAAAGGATTGTGAGCAAAGGCATCCATCCTGTGATATCTAATTTTTAAAATGAGCCCTATGGCTGCTTGTGGAGATTGGATTGTATGGGTCAAAAAAGGAAGCACAGAGCTATTGCAGCAATCCAGGTGAGAGGTAAATCCAGGTGATTTAGCTGAGTTGTGGCAGTTAAGATAGACACAGAAACAGTAACTTTGGTGCATATTTTGGAGGCAGAACTGATGTATTGGGTGTGGGATATAGGGGAAAGAAGAATCAAGGATGAGGCTTAGATTTTTTTTGGCCTGAGAAACTGGGTGGATGCTACCCCCTTCCGCCCCCACCCCCTACCTTTAAAGTATGTTCACGATCCTCTTGTCTGCTGATCCAAGTCTCCTAGATCCATCATCTCTCACCTGGACTATTGCAAGAGCTCCCTAACTAGTCTTCCAGCTTTCACTTTCCAGTTTCTTCACAGCAGTTAGGATATTCCTATCAAAATGGAAATCCACTGATGTCAAGCCTCTTTTCAAAATCTCCATCTTCCTCAGAATAAAAACTCATGGTCTAGTCCCTGTGACTTCTTTCACAGGGCCTCATCTCCTGCTCCTCTCATTTGCCTTTTCAAAAGTTTAGTCACTATCCCCTGCAGTCTTCATCCTTCCTCTGCTTTGTTTTTCTCCTTAGCCCCTATTATCCTTTAATGTATGATGTACTGTACTTTTTCCTGTTTATTGTATGTCCCTCAGCAGTAGAATGTAAGCTGTATGAGGGCAGAGGTTTTGTTTGTTTTGCTCACTGCTATAGTAGGTGCTTAATAAATATTTGCTGAGTAAGTGTGTTAAGTAAACTTACGAGAAGAAGTCTGTGGGAGGAGCATGTTTGTATGAGGGCAGAAACAGAGTTTTGTTTAAACATGTTAAGTTTGAGATGCTTGTGAGGTATCTTGGTGGAGGTGTTGAGTAGAGGGGTGGACACCCTAGTCCTATCAGGGGAGAGGACTGGACTGGAGATAATGAAGGACTCATTATCATGAACATTTGGATGCCAATGTCTAGGGAGATAGTATGGATAGACCAGTGCCTGGGGCACGCTAAGAGGAGGAACCAGCAAAGGAACAAGAAGAAGGAAGATTGTGGATAAAAAGAAAAGCTAGCAATGGCACCAGCCATCAGCCTCCAGTTAACAGTTCCTAGTTCCAGAGTAGTCTTTCATAGCCTGGCATAGTCTGCCTGAGATAGATGTGGCTTATAGTAGAGGCCCCGCTCACGGTTTCTGCAGGATCTTTGCTCCTCTGCTCAGGGCTGCAGGCTCCTTCTGGAGCATTTGAGCAGGGTGGTTAAGAAGACAGGCTCTGGAGTCAAACTGCTTGGCTTTAAACCTCAGCAATGTTACCTACTAGCTTGTGACTTTGAGTAAGTTAACCTTTCTTTGCCTCAGTTTCATCATCTGTGGGGAAATAATAGTATTTACTTGATAGGATGGTTCTAATGAGTAAATCACTACATACACAAATGGGTAGTATATATAGCAAGTTTTCCAAAAAAAAAAAAAATTAGCTCTTGGCACTGTTCTTAGGGCTTGGGTCTCAATATCTCCTGCCAAGTGGTCAATGTCAAGGACCCAGACTTTGAGTCTCAGCCTTTACCCACTCCTGTCCACTAGAGCAGGACCAGAGTCCCTCTCACCTAAGGCTGTTATCTGCTGGGCATTCAGTCGGAGGACCCAGAATTTATCTGCTGTTGACTCAACTATAGAAAGTCAATTTTAATAAAGCTGTTGACCAGTACAAAGTTATTTTTGGGTTCACAATGCATTTTAAGTCAACATAATACCTTGATACCTATACACATCTTTCTTTCCTCCAAGGGAGGAGAAATCATCCACAAAGGGAGAGTTGCATACACAGCCAGAAACCCTCTGAAAATATCAATACACAGGTTAGAGAATCACAGAGTTTATGAAGTACAACTTTATTAATGATAAAATTTATACATCTCAGTCCAAAAGCCAGAATCACACTTAATGTGGAAACCTAAATTATTCTCATTAAAGTTAGGTATTCCAAAAACATGGCTCCTGTGACTACTTTTATTTCACATTGCCTTGGAAGTACTAGCCTACTTAATTACAGAAGAGGAAGGAATGATCTATAAAAACTGGAAAAGAAGAGGTAAAATTATTTATATGAGAGCCTACCTGAAAAATCCAAGAACATCAACTGAAAAAAATAATACAAACAAGGCATTTTAGTAAAGTGGGCACAAATTTATATACAAAAAGCCAAAAACAAAAGCCAATTAGAAGATAAAGAGGAATAAAATGTGTCGTTTACAATAACAACAACAGTAAACTAAGAATAATCTTAACAATGAGTATGCTAGATTTAAGCATCCAAAACTACAATGCTGTATCATGGGACACAAAAGGAGTCTTGAGTAAATGGAAAGGAACCCTATTTTGGGGTAGAAAGACTTGTTATCATAAATAAATCAGCTCTCCATAAATTAGTCTGTAAAGTTAACATAACCCAATAAACATACTAACTACAGAACCTGAATGTAGGGTTCATATAGAAATTTTTGCATCAGGCATAGCTAAGATGCAAAAATTCTGAAAAAAAGGTTAATGAGAGGGGAAAGCTTTACCAGATATGAAACCATTAAAAGCTACACTAATTAAAATAGGAAAATTCAGGGGATGCTGGTGTATGCATAGGCAACGTGATCAAGAGAACAAAGGAGAGTCCAGAAGTAAACCCAAGACATTTAAAATGTTGGTATATGATACAGATGGCATTGTCTATCAGTAGGGAAAAGATGAATTATACAATAAGTGGTATTGAGACAATTGTGTAGCCACCTGAAAAAAAAATAATGTGGTATCTACTTTAGTCCTTACACTAACATAAATCCATATGAATCAATTGTGTTTAAGTAAATTTCAAAGAGTTAAAAACATAAATTTATAATGTCATAGTGGAAACAGTATTTTCAGAATAGCATAAAATTTCCCAAAGAATAAAAAAGGACATCTGTCAACATAAAAATCCATAATTTCTGCCAAGCAAGAAACACCATAAACAAAGACAAATGGCAAACTGGGGGAAATATTTGCAATTCATATCATAGACAAAGGGACTAATTTGCTTCATATATACAAAATCCCTTCAAATCAATATGAAAAAACAAAAGTCCAATAAGAAAATGGGATGGTTAACATAAAAAGAAAGATAAATGGCTCTCAGATATATGAAAAAATACTCAGCTTCACTCATAAGAAAATTGAAACTGCATTTATTTTTTCCCTTTATTTTTATTGTTGATACTAACACAGATGTTCCCATATCCCACTCCCTTTCGCCTGCTTCTACCTTTCCCCTGACTCCCCCTTCCCTCTGGCCACACTGTTGTCTGCATCAATGAGCTACACATATATGTTCTTTGGCTAATCCCCTCACCTCCTTTCATCCAGTCCTCTCCCTCCTCCCTCCCCCTGACAGCTGTCAGTCTGTTCTATGTGTTCATGCCTGTTAAAAATTGAAACTACATTTAGATATCATGTTGCACCTATAGATTGGCAAAA